CTTCTAATTTTCTGGGATTTCTTTCCTCACTGGGATAACTCTTCTAATTTTCTGGGATTTCTCTCCTCACTGGGATAACTCTCCTAACTTTCTGGGATTTCTTTCCTCACTGGGATAACTCTCCTAATTTTCTGGGATTTCTCTCCTCGCTGGGATAACTCTTCTAATTTTCTGGGATTTCTTTCCTCACTGGGATAACTCCTATAATTTTCTGGGATTTCTCTCCTCACTGGGATAACTCTCCTAACTTTCTGGGATAACTCTCCTAACTTTCTGGGATTTCTCTCCTAGCAGGTGGTGTTTCTGTTCCTTAAAACCGTGCCCTTCGTTCCTCACCTCTGATGACATTGGAAAACGTTCAGAAATATTGGAGCAATCCAACAAAAAGGGGGTTGTTGGGCTCTGCTCCCAGGGAACGAGGGACAGGACGAGAGGAAACGGCCTCCAGCTGTGCCAGGGGAGCTTTGGGTTGGATATCGGGGAAAATTCCTTCCTGGAAAGGGTGGTCAGGCCTTGGAAGGGGCTGCCCGGGGCAGGGGGGAGTCCCCACCCCTGGAGGGATTTAAATCCCTGTGGATGTGGCCCGTGGGGACACGGGGCAGTGGTGGCCTCGGCAGAGCTGGGAAGGGTTGGGCTCCGTGATCTCGGAGGTCTTTTCCCTCCCCAAAGGTTCTCCAATCCAGCAGGGAGATGCTTTGGTTGGGGGAGGTTCATTTAACCTTTCACTCCTTCCCGTGTCCCCAGGGTGTCCCTGACTCACTGCACGACTCCACATCCTCTTGGGACAGCGAGGGGAGGACGTCCCAGCCCTGCCCGTGTTGGGAGCACTAATAACCCTCCCTAATTGGCAGCACTAATTGCCCTGACCGGGCTTGTGCAGGGTTCCCACCCACCCACCACCCACCCCACATTTAAGCCCAGGTCCCTTCTTTTGGTCCTCGTTGGAGCTGCGCTGGGTCCACGCTGGACTTGGGCTCGTGGTTGTTTCCCTCCTGGCTCTGGAGCTGCCTTGGGAACATCACTGAGGACCTGGACCCTTCCTGTTCCTGGTCAGTGCCCCCAGGACACTTCCAGGGATCCAAGGGCTGCCACAGATGCTCTGGGAAATCCATTCCAGGGCCTCCCCACCCTCCCAGCCAGGAATTCCTTCCCAATATCCCATCTAACCCTGCCCTTTGGCACTGGGAAGCCATTCCCTGTGTCCTGTCCCTCCATCCCTTGTCCCCAGTCCCTCTCCAGCTCTCCTGGAGCCCCTTTAGGCCCTGCAAGGGGCTCTTAGCTCTCCCTGGAGCCTTCTCTTCTCCAGGGGAACCCCCCCAGCTCTCCCAGCCTGGCTCCAGAGGAGCAGAGGGAATCCAGCCCTGGGAGCAGCTCCGGGGCCTCCTCTGGATTCACTCCAACTTCACCCAAACCTGTGGCTTCTCTCCAAACCCTGCAGAACCTCCTGGCTCCCTTGGGAGGGCAGAGCTGGAGGCCTCTGGAGCCCCTCGGGGAGGGTCAGGAGTGGGTACAAAGGTTTGGATTTAAACGCAGCTCCTTAAATGCAGAGAGGGTGGAGGAGGCTCTGGATGGTGCTGATCAGGAATCCTGGAGCTGGTTGGGGTACTTTGGATCCTGACATGTTTGGCAGGATCTCTTGGCAGCCTTTAAATCCGTGAGGGATGTCGGATGACTAATGAAACAAGCTCTAATTTTGCCCTGGATTAAATCCCTCCTTCCTGTTTTCAAGGAGTGAATCCACGGGGCAGAGCTGGCTGATTCCTTAGGGACTGTTGAAGTCCATCAACTACAGGTGGGATTTGACTCCCACCGGAATTCCTGCAGCTCCAGAAGCAGGGAATCAGCAGGAAATCCCCGTGATGGTTCCTGACTGTTAGGATCAGTTTTTGTTGTTTGATTAGTGCTTGTTTTCCAAGAATTGGGCTCTGTGACCTCTCCCAGACCCGAGGACTTTGTGTCCTTCGTGTGCCTCCAAGACACAACAGTCACAGGGTGAACTAATTCCTACGAGCCAGAACAGGCTGGATCCCTGCCTGAGGCTCCCTGTGTTCCCAAAAACATGAGCCCTGGCCTTGCACAAGACTTGCCCGGGGTCTGAACCCATGACAGGCCACGGAGAGATCACGTGGGAGTGGAGGAACAGCAGGGAGGGGATGTAAAAAGCTTCCTCTGGGAATTGTCACTTGGAATTTCCTTGTTCTCCTGAGTTGGATGGAGCAGCTGAACCATCTCCCTTCCATCCCATAGTCCCAGGAATCCCACCTGCAGGTGAGACAGCAGGCTCAGCTCCTGGCTCTTCCTCAGTAATGTTTTTAGTGGGATTAATAAAAGTGGATCCAGCTCCTGGTTGTTTCTCAGTAACATTTTCAATGGGATAAACAAGAAGTGGATCCAATCCCTGGTTGTTCCTCAGCAGCATTTTTTATGAGATAAAAAACAAGTGGATCCAGTCCTGTAACATTTTTAGTGGGATAAACAAGAAGTGAATCCAGCTCCTGGTTGTTTTCCTCAGTAACATTTTCAATGGGATAAAAATCAAGTGGATCCAATTCCTGGCTCTTCCTCAGTACCATTTTTAGTGGGATAAAAAGCAAGTGGATCCAACTCCTGTAACATTTTTAATGGGATAAATAAAAGTAGATCCAATCCCTGGTTGTTCCTCAGCAATATTTTTAATGGGATAAACAACAAGTGGATCCAGCTCCTGGCTGTTCCTCAGTAATGTTTTTAGTGAGATAAACAAAAAGTGGATCCAATTCCTTGTTGTTCCTCAGTAATATTTTAAATGGGATAAACAAAAAGTGGATCCAATTCCTGGTTGTTCCTCAGTAACATTTTTAGTGGAATAAATAAAAAGTGGATCCAGGTCCTGGCTCTTCCTCAGTAACATTTTTAGTGGGATTAATAAAAGTGGATCCAGCTCCTGGTTGTTCCTCAGTAACATTTTAATGGGATAAACAAAAAGTGGATCCAATCCCTCATTGTTCCTCAGTAACATTTTTAGTGGGATAAAAAACAAGTAGATCCAGCTCCTGGTTGTTCCTCAGTAATGTTTTTAGTGGGATAAACAAGAAGGGAATCCAGCTTCTGGTTGTTCCTCAGTAACATTTCTAATGGGATAAAAAACAAGTGGATCCAATCCCTGGCTCTTCCTCAGTAACATTTTTAATGGGATAAATAAAAAGTGGATCCAGTCCCTGGTTGTTCCTCAGCAATATTTTTAATGGGAAAAATAAAAAGTGGATCCAATTCCTGGCCCTTCCTCAGTAATGTTTTTAGTGGGATAAAAAACAGGTGGATCCAGTCCTGTAACATTTTTAATGGGATAAACAAAAAGTGGATCCAATCCCTGGTTGTTCCTCAGCAATATTTTTAGTGGGATAAACAAAAAGTAGATCCAGCTCCAAGGGAGATTATTCCCAAAGTTCAGCCAGTAGACTGCCTTGGCTCCCTCCGCATGGATAACAACAACTCCAACCTCTGGGCACCTTCAACAAGGAGCATTGACTGGGATAAAACTCTCTGGGATCTCTGGGACACGACCCCCC